GAAATGCGAAAAACGTCCAATGTTTTTATTCATGATATATGGAAATGACAGTCAATAAGCCCTCACAAATGAAGCCAACGGTGCCCCGGGTAAGGCACCGGGCCATAAAGTTCCAAATTTTTGTTCATTACAAATTTAAAAAACAAAGGAATTCATTACTGCGTAACAAAAGTAACAGGTATGTAGTCTTTTGCAGTCCAATTATTTAGTCCACCGTCGGTCGTCGGGTAGATCCAGCTATCAAACTCTGATTCCTCCACTTCGTCGTCAATAGCATTCACTCCCGGGTTGGTGATGAACACGGGAGGTCTTCTGATCCTTGCTTTGCGTACAGCCCTCTGAGCCTCTGCAGTGAAACCCAGCCCAAACTTGTCAGTCTTAGGAGTAAAATCAGGGACCCTGCCCCAGTTAGCACATTCACCTTTCTCAATTACAGCCCGGGCATCCTTCAAGGAAGCCATCTTCAAAGGAGAGTCTTCTTCAATTACTGTCTCAGCTGACGCCAATGTTGGAGGCACCTCTTCAAAATGTTGAAAGGGGGTTTCAATGAACTCCCCGTCCATCTCTATATACCGGAACGAGTTCAGATGACTAACCATGTATTCTTCCTCCCCCTGCACTGTAACAATCTTCCCTCTGACAGGGTATTTAAGCTTCTGGTGTAGAGTGGAGGTCACAGCCCCAGCCTTGTGGATCCAAGGATGACCCAGCAAAAAAGAATAGGATGGACGAATGTCCATCACATAGAACGTTGAATCGAAGACTTGGGAACCAACCCGGATTGGAATATCTACTTCATCATGTACCGTCCTCTTCGACCTGTCAAAGGCTCGGACGATGATGTTACTAGGCTTCAACTCCAGACCCTCGCAATCCAACCTGTCTAAGGCCTTTTTGGGAAATACTTTTAGTGAAGAACCGGTGTCTACCAACACGTGTGCAAGAGTAGTGCCCCTGCATTCAATGGAGACATGCAGGGCATCATTATGGTTCCTCCCCTTAGCGGTCAGATCGGCATCAGAGAAACCCAGCCCATTGTCAGCGGTCAGGTTAGCCATGCAATCAGTAAATTGATCGGCATATGTCTCTTGTGGCACGTGAGCCGTCTTCAGGAATGAAATCAGGGCCTTGGCGTGGGCATCTGAGCACAGCAACAACGATAGCATAGAGATCTTGGAGGGGGTGTGCCCCAGCTGTTCAACGACATTGAAGTCACTCTTCTTAATAATCTTGAGGATTTCCTCCATCTCTTGCTGGGAGGCTTCAACACTAACAGTCTTTGGTGCCTCCATCTGGGCAGGCATATCAGCAATCCCTTTGCCCCGAGTGTCAGATGACTCGGCAGCAGGGGTAGAAACTTGAACAGGTGCATTTGTAGGCGTGATGATAAGAGGTCTTCGGATGACTGGTGGCGCAATGTCAGGCGAGAAGAGCCTGCCACTGCGAGTAACTTTAGCGGGGCCGATGATGTTACTGATACCGGTATTAGTGTTGAACTCCTGCTTCACTCCAAGCACATATACATCTTCCCCATAGTGCCATGGGACAGCCTTGTCAGATTTATAGGGGAGGGGCCCCGGAACAGTAATAATGATGGGTGCAACAGACATGATTTTGACTGGCCTCCTCGGGGGAGCCTTGGTAGGATTGTTGAAAATGGTGACAACGGATACTTCTTCAGTAGGAACAATAGGAACAGTGGTCTTCTTGAACAAGATTTCTTTGCTATCCATCAGGTTTTGGATGCCTGACTTCAGCAATGGACAACCAGTAGGGGAAACAGCACACAGAAGGCAACCCTTGCTACAACCCGGAAATAAACCGGCTAGCAACAAGTTCCTCTTAACAGTTAATAAAGGGGTAGCAACATCATCCACAGAAATTGCATACAAGTCTTCCTCAATAGCATTTACTCCATGCTGGGGCATGGGAGCGGTCACAACATTTGGCCTTTCTGGCGCCTCGAACTGTATTTCCTTGGCATCGATAAGGTCCTGAACCTTATTCCTCAGGGCCCAGCAATCATCAGTAGAATGCCCCGGGCTATCAGAGTGATAAGCATAGCGGGCGTTGGGATTGTACTTCGGAGAGGTTGTGTTTACCACCTTCGTAGCTTCTCTAACGGTCACCAAGTTGGTTGATAACAGTTGCGGTAAGATTTGCGACAAGGTCATACTAAGCCGAGTATACTCTCTTCTGGGTCTCTCTCCCCTTGGTTGGTTAAGTTACTGAGGAGCGGCAGCAGGCTTTGCAATTACCACCGCGTTGACAGCTTGGCGGCGTTCTGGTTTATTTTGCCTTTTGGGCCCATACACAGCACTGGCTTCCTTCTTGAAAGGCTTCTTTTCAGAACTTGAGGATGCACCCTTCTGTATCTTCCCTGATTTCATCCCAGCTTCTATCCTTTCCCCAGTCAGAATGAGGTCTGTAAACCCCGCAGATGAATTGCCAATGATATGGTTGAAGAACGGCCCAGATAGGGTCCCTAAGTATATGTCCACGAGTTCACGATCGGTTAATGGTGGCTGCACCCTGCCAGCCAGGTCCCTCCACTTCTGCGCATACTCTTTAAAACCTTCTCCCGATCCTAGCGACATACCCTGGAGTTGGGTACGTGTAGGAGCGAGGTCGGCATTGTACTGATACTGCTTGTAAAAAGCAGTAGCCAAGTCCTCCCAGTTACGAACCTTGGTTCCATCCAGCTGATAGAACCATTCGAGATGAGTCCCTGAAAGACTCTCCTGGAAGAAATGGATCCATAAGTTCTTGTCCACAGTGTATGGCTGGATCTTCCGCACATAAGATCTGATATGTAGCTTAGGGCAGGACGCCCCGTCATACTTTGCGAAAGATGGTGCTTTGAACTTGTGTGGGATCACCACACCAGAAGATAGACCCAGGTCTCCGAAATCCAACCCAGGCACTTGTTGAATTTCCATGGCATTCAGGCGATCCTCTAACTGCTTGTACTTGTCTTTAGCTTGAGGGTACTGCTCCTCATTGAAGTCAGCCTATTTATCAGAGACCACATGACTAGGAACCCTTCCCCCCTGGGGACTGCCTTTCCCTATAGAAGAACCAGCTTGATCAACCTCATTCTGCAGTGTGTTACCAAACCTCCGGCCAGTGTTGAATAGTACAGTTCTCTTCTTCTTCTTCTTAACCAGCAGAGCCTTCAATTCCTCCTGACCTTGGGCTAAACTCATAATCAACTCTTGGAACTGGGCGTTCTGAGCCTGGAGGGCCTTGATGGATTGCTCAGTAGATGACTCAGGATTCATGATGGCATGCTGAAATAAACAGCGAAGAACATTAAGCAACCTGAAAAGAAGAGTACTTGTGATGCACATGATGAATGGAATGCGTATGATTTATGTTTTCAAAGACAATCGGGGTTCAACTTTGTAAACAAAAAGGAACACACTTTATTAGATTCAACTTTGAAATTTAGATTGTTCAACAGATTGCCCTTAGGCGTTACATAAAATGGAAATACTGAAAAGGGAAATAAAAACTGTAAAAGAAACATCCAAAGCTCATTATTGATCCCAGGGTCTCCTCTTCTCAGCACGGATGTAGTCATTCAAGGGCCACTCGTTCTCCAACTGCTTTGTTAGCTTTTGGATTTTCAATTCCTGCTCGTTGAACTTTTCCCGATAAGAATCCCGTTCTTCTCGTAGTTGCTCCTAAGACCTCTTTAGTGTATCAACATCAGTAGGTATCTGAGGAGGGAGAACAGTTGGAGGGGCCCCATCTCTATCAGGATATTCAAAAATGATGGGTCTGACAGCTTCATATGGCATACCTAACTTCTGAGCATGGATGCGAACCCATCTGTAGTAGGGTTCCCTAGGTAGAGAAGTCTTCGGTCCCAACTCTTGTGGGTCAGCTTTGTGAATTCTGTCCCAAGCCTTGATGAACCTACGACGCAGCTCGTCACTATCTACCTGAAACTCAAAACTGATGTGAGGCACCAACATCTCATGAGGCCCTGCTCTTCTGGCTCTTCCAAACTGACGGAGAGATAGACATGGATTATAAGAGATTCCTCCTTGGGTACCAATCAAAGGAACATTAGGATATTCTCCGCAACGATCAATAACAGCTACCTCATCCAAACCCCTGAAAGTCCAAATGATGTCATTATCAGTGAGAGACATTAACCTATGAGCCCAGCCTCTTCCTTCTTTGTTCTTCAGCACGAACTTAGGGAGGTGGGAAATAAACCACCTCACTAACAAAGGAATACAGCACCACAGAGTTCCTTGTCTTCAGGCAGTACTGTTGTACCCCAATTTTTGACCTAAGATCCCATATTTATTTTTGCATTTTTAAGATAAGTCAAGGTCACGAAATACGGTCGGTTTTAACGTCTCACTGTCGAGCTTTGACTATGCGAAGATTGTCAATTGTTTTGAACATTTTTAGCATATGTATCACTAATTTCTAATCGCATACAAAGGTGTATGTTCATGTTTTCTTTTGCTTCATGTGCAGAGACAGGTCTGAATCAAGAGCATCAGGTGTCGCGCCTCAATTAAGGTTTTGAGTCTCCCAAGCCAAAAGTATGGTTGATTGTGGATTCTCGAAGACTGATTCATCAAGGCACAACTGTTACACCCTTAATTTCGCCCCTAATTTTTTCAGTCGCACATTCATACCATATTTTGTCATTTGGTCACAATTATTAGTAAATATCTTCATTCATCACATTTTGCATCATTAGTCGTATTTAAGTTGACCAGAAAAAGTCAGTTTAAATCAAAGTTTGCATCGTCTTTTAGTTAAAAAAATACTTGACATTTCACTTCATGCATTTTTATCTCTTTACTCGTTTCTTGCATTGCTCCAAGTTGTTTATATGTCGATAATAAAAATATTTTGATTTTATGGACAAACTGTTAAAAGCGATTCAACAATGTGCGAAAAATTAGGGAGAAAAATATTTCAAGTTTTCACCTTTTACCGATCATTTTATGAATCTGCGCTTCGCGTAGATTATGACGGTATGCTCGCTTTATTTTTTCGGTACAGTTCGAAGTCTCGTTTTTAACCTTAAACGTCTGTTTAGTCTGATATTTTTATTATTATTTTATTTTTGATTTTTGACTTCTTGAATATTTTTTCTTTAATCTTTGTGACATGTAGATTATTTTAATGTGATCATTTTATTTTTTCGGATAAATTTTCGTCCGTATTTTGTCGTTTTTGGTCATTTTAGGTCTTTATTTTTAATTCAAAAAAATTATTTTAAATTAAGTTATTTTTTTTATACTTTCAGGTTTTTATTTTATTTTTGTCATTCAGGGGCTTTTTGGTCCCAAAAGATTATTGATTATACTATGCTTGATTCCTATTGGTCGATAACACATGTTATGGATAACTAAATTTTCCAATGGAATTCAAAGAAAATCAACGGATGTGATTTACTCTGATATTATATTTTTTCCTTTTGTTTTTTTTTCTATTTTAGTAGCCTGGTTTCTTTGTAAAGAGGGGGGAGAAGAAAAAACACAGTAACTCTTTTACCCCTCTCCCTCTTTCCACACGTGATGCTCCCTCTGCTTCCCTTATCCAACACAACATCCTTTATCTTTATCTCATTAACCTTTCTACATCACACAATCTCCCTTCTATTTCTCTTACCCCCATTTCTACACAAAACCCACAATCCCATAACAAATCCCTTCATCCTCCCTTCCGTCTCCTCTTCAACACCGTATAATACCCCTCTGCCAATCGCTACAAACCCCTCCCATCAGCAAATCCCTCCGCCTCTGTTTCTTCTCACTACCATCCATTCAATCACCCCTTCCTACCGTAAACCACCGTAACCCAATCTCCATCAATTATTCCGCTAGCAATCTCACTCGATTCAACCTCTCCTACACCACAGCCACAATAACATCATAACATCTTCCTCAGCCGCACTAGTACCTCATAGTCATAACCCTTCAGTTAATGGCACAACCACAAACTCTACTGGTGTAGAACTAGATCTTGATCAATCCTCCTACAAGAAACCATTATCACAAGTGGTGGTCAAGTACAGAGAATGCTTGAAAAACCATGCAGCTGCAATGGGAGGAAATGCTACAGATGGTTGTGGTGAGTTCATGCCAAGTGGTGAACAAGGTTCCATAGAAGCACTCAACTGTTCAGCTTGCCATTGTCACAGAAACTTCCATAGAAAGGAAATTGAAGGTGAAACTGATGAAGAAAACTACCAACATCACCATAACTCACCTTTCACCTTCAACTTCAACAGACAACAACAACAACAACATCACAGCATGAGGAAATTCATGTTACCTCTTCCTGATCAACCTTTCGGGCTTGGCTACCACCACCCTCACACTACTCCTAACTCTACATCAGCAGCAGTAACAGGTAACAACAACAATATTCTTCCTTCTAGAGCTGTAGCACCACCACCACATGGACATGGACATATCATTATGCCTTTCAACTACAACATACCTTCTGAATCTGATGAGCAAGAAGAACATGGTAGAACGCAGAGTCAGCATCAACAGGTAGTGATGAAAAAAAAGGTTCAGGACAAAGTTTACACAGGAGCAGAAGGACAAAATGCTGAACTTTGCTGAGAAAGTTGGATGGAAATTTCAGAAACAGGAAGAATCTCTAGTGCAACAGTTCTGTGTGGAGATTGGAGTGAAGAGAAGAGTGCTAAAGGTTTGGATGCATAACAATAAGCATAATCTTGCAAAAAAAACAACATATTGATATTACCACTCATCATCTTCCAACTCCTTAATTTAATATTTATCTTGGATTTCCTAATAATACGTGTCTGTATTTGTTTAGGTATATTGCATTTGCATAAGTTAATTAATTACGTACTTTGAGTATTTCTTTTTAGTTTGTGAGATGAAGGCTCATCAGCATGCATGTTTTGAGGTGGATTTGTTTTGTATTACTAATAGAACACAATTACATAATACTACCATTTTCTTTTGCTAAAAAAAAAATATAAAAAAAATATTAGTAAATCTTATATTTAGATTCAGTTTAGTATTAATTTAGAATTTTTTTTAATTAGTTTAGATGTATTTTATAACTTTAAAATATTTAGAATCATAATTAATAACTTTAGAATTTTATGTGTTGTAGTATTATTTTAGTAACTTTAGGATTTTATTTCATTTAGTTTTGACTTAGTAAATTTTAGAGTTTTATTTGTTTTAGTTTTGACTTAGTAAACTTTAGAATTTTATTTTAGTTTTATTTTAGTAACTTTAGGATTTTATTTCATTTAGATTTGACTTAGTAAATTTTAGAGTTTTATTTGTTTTAGTTTTTGACTTAGTAAACTTTAGAATTTTATTTTGTTTTAGTTTTAACTTAGTAAACTTTAGAATTTTATTTTAGTTTTATTTTAGTAACTTTAGGATTTTATTTCATTTAGATTTGACTTAGCAAATTTTAGAGTTTTATTTGTTTTAGTTTTTGACTTAGTAAACCTTAGAATTTTATTTTGTTTTAGTTTTAATTTAGTAAACTTTAGAATTTTATTTGATTTTATTTAAGTTAACTTTAGAATTTTAGTTGTTAGTTTTAGTTTAGGGACTTTAGAACTTTATTCGATTTAGAATTAGTTTAATAAGTTTAGAATTTTAGTTGTTTAGAATTAGTTTAATATTCTTTTAGAATTTTATTTGATTTAGATTTAGTTTAGTAACTTTGGAACTTTTTTTTGTTTTAGATTAGCAACCTTTGAATTTTTATTTAGTTTAGATTTAATTTACTAATTTTAAAATGTTTAATTTAGCTTAGATTTAATTTAGTAATTTTAGAACTATTTTTGCAACCTTAGAATTTGTAGTTAGTTTAGAATTTTTAGTAAGTAATCTTAAATTTTTTATATAGTTTAAATAACTTCTTTAGATAATTAGTTACATTCTCTTTTATTTTATTTAAATATCTTTGTCATTTCAATTTCTCGGTGCCTCTTGATCATTAATTTGTTTTTGTCAGATTTATTTTCTTGTGAACTTCTGAATGTTTATATTTTGATGTTCATTTTATTTTGCTTAATCCAAGGGAAATGTTTTAACTCTGTTGACTTCACGTCATCTAATACATGTCATCCGATCGCGCGAATACCTTTTTTTTCATTTTTGTTCATTTACTATTTTGTTAAACCTAAGATAATTTTCCCAAAAGACTCCATTTTCAAACTCACACTTTTTTTAAGTCAAAACTTTGACACTAGGTCGTCGTATCTTCAAAAATCTCGTCCATACCATCTTTTAGCCAAACGAACCATTTTAATCAAACAAAATTTTTTAACCAAAAACAGATATTTCAAAAGGTTCCTGCGGAGTACCGCTGATGCATTGGGTGCTAATACCTTCCCATTGTATAACCAACCCCCGAACTCTCGATCTCTTTCAAAAAACGCATTGTATTCCTATTACTTTTAAGTATTATTTTACATTGCATATTTTAGGGTTTTATTTCGCTCTTTTCCCTTTTCCCTTTTCCCTTGGAAATAATAAAGCGCGGTGGAGACTCTTGCTTTTTGTGAGTCAAGTTAATTAATAGCTTGATCTCTGATTTTCACCGCTACAAGTACGAGCATAGAGTTGTTGCAGGATATCACCCAAGAGAGTGGGCACGGGGTTCCGAGACATGAAGATCCTTATGGCAGTGACGTTAATGAAGTTATCAGGATTAGGAAACAAGACTAGGCCATAGATTAAGAGAGCCAGAATGTCTTCATACGCCCTGAAGTCTAAGTCATTCCCGAAACTGTTGGCTTTACCGATCAGAAACTTGGCCAAGAAACCCTTAACTCTGCTTCTAGTCACCCAGTTGTCCATTACTTCTTTGGTGGTCAAAGGAAGGGCTGCAGCAATCTCCTCGAGCCTAAGAGTCTTTTCCCAACCAGTGAAGGGAGTCTGATCCAAGATAGGGATACCCAGCAAATCAGAGAATTCTTCCAGGGTAGGGACCAGCTGGAAGTCTTGAAAGGTGAAGCAATTGTACAAGGGATCATAAAACTGGGTCAGGACGCTCATCAGCTATTGGTCCCACTTTGAAGTAACTAAACCGAGAAGAGAACCATGCCTCTAGATAAAGGAAGTAGTGTTTGGAATTCTACTAACCAATTCTTCAAGCAACTCAGGTGGGTGAACAAAATTGAACCGGATAGTGTTCCTTCCCACAGGCATCATGATGTCCTACAAAACAGAGCAAAGGTGAAACCCTCTTGTCTTTGAAATGGTCATTCCTTATGCAGGATGCATGCAATGTTATGATGGTATGATGTCATGATAAAGCACACCACAAGTATTCACAAAGGCAAACATGATAAGGCACACAAGTCACACAAGACAGCCCTTAGAGTTTAGGCCAACATGAAGTTCAGGTACTACCCTCTTTCAGTTTGTTGGTTAAGACCTGTCCTATCAAAATTAATCGGGTTCTTAGAGGATCCCAATATCACTGACTACCCTCAATCGGTCATAACTCCAGCATCGCAATCTTTTCTTGCGGCCAGAACCATCGCGAGATTTTAGCCTCAATGGGTGTAGCATACTGCTACTGTTCTATCGGCCAAGTTGGGTCATTTAAGGTTCTAAGGTCGGTTGGTGCTTAATGACTCCTCAGAAGACCCATATTCTCCTTGTTGCGACACAAGGGATATCGGTACAGACCAAGGTGCCACACCAACGTAGCCACTGCTTCACCCGTGTCGGTCTACGCTGGATACGTCCCTCACAGCTTATGCTACCTAATAGGGTATCCCCAGATCCGGGTTAGGATCTATGAAACTCCAAGACAATGCCCATAATAATAATAAAGCAAACAAAACACAGCAATTGAAAACACAAGTATGAGCTATCCTAAGGTACACCTCACTTTAAAAGATATCCCCAGCAGAGTCGCCAGTTCTGTGATCGGTGGATTTAGAACTGACTGTTTAAAGCTGGTTCGCGAAATGTCGCGGAAGCAAGAGTCGCCACCGTCTTTTATTTTCTCCAACATTGATAGGACAAAAGCACAACAAAATTCCTTATGAGAATAGTTCTCGGTTCGGGAGGTAGATTTATAGAAAGGGAAGGTGTTAGCACCCTTTCTATCCATGGTTATTCATGGGCTCTTAGATACTTGCTCTTATGTTTTCAAAATGTTTGCTTTTCAAAATGTGAATGGGTTTGAAAAAGTTTCTTTGAAAGATTTCTGAATAACTCTTGTATCTGTCCTCAAGAGTGTTTGAAAAATTTGTTTTGAAAGCTTTTTTTTTTTTGAAAGTGTAGTGTGAAAAGATTTTTGATTTGTTTTTGAAGAGAGCAAGTATCCATGAGTCATCTACCTACCCTAAGGAATTAGGCTGTGTAAAGGTCCTTAAGGTAGTGCCATCCCACCATTGAGAGGTAGGTAGCACCACCGTTGGAGGTGTTCGGGTCAATTCGTTTGTAGGGACAATGTGGTCACCGAAGCAACAGTAAGACACCTTAGAAGCTACCCTTATGTCCTAGATCCTTTTTAATCTGAGGCAACCGTTTCGAAGCGACTGGATCTTAGACATAAGAGCGATCGCTAAAATGTTCTATACTTGACGACCACGTTTCAAAGGCAACGAGTGAGGCGTACCCTAGAAGTGGTGTGTGTAATTGTGTGTTGTTTTCATGTTACATTTTATCTTTGATCATGGCATTGTGAGCTACGCTTTGTTTTTAATCACCATACATTCTTTCATGCAATTTAGAATTTAAGAGCACGGAAAATTAAAAGACGGAAAGATAAAAGCTACGCTATTACAAGGCGCGGGTCTATACATCACCAAAATACAAAGACCCGTTTTTGATAAAAATGTGAAAAATAAAAAATGCGGTAAACCTAATTACTATTACATCCAGAAAGCAGTTACATAATAATCAATAAGAAAAATAATGCGCGAAATAGAAATTAAAATTGAACGTCTGAGGGTTTTGACCCTTTTGAGAAATTAAATTAAATTAGGACTTAATTATTATTTGATAAAAGAAAAGAAAGTGTTTTTTTTATGTTTTTTGTATTTATGAAAATAAGGAAAATTAAAATCAAGTGGAAAACCCTAATTCTAAGTTTATTTTAATTATTAAGAAAATATTAAAGTTAACCTAATTTACTAGTTAATTAATTTACATGTTTATTTACAAAAATAATAGTAATTAATAATAATAAATAATGAGGAAAATAATTAATTCAGAAAAAGATGAAAATGTCAAAAAACCTAGTTCTATGTATTTTTTATTTATTAAGAAAAGTATTAGAATTTAAACCTAAATTAAACTAACGTTAATTGTTAGTTATTTATTTACAAAAATAAATTAGTGAGGAAATTAGCAAATAATTAAACATATTTTTTTTAGTTTTGATTTTCTGTTTTTATTATGAAAAATTAATTTGAGGTGAATTAACAAAAACAATTAAAACAATTAAAAGAATTAGCAAAGAAAAGAAAATTAAATTGAATTAAAAGAATGCAAACCAAGGGGGGTGTCAGGCCCAAATGGAGGTGTTTGTGAGGAATTAAGGCCCATGAATACAAGGCCTTGCTGACTTTTCAGGGATCATGTGCACGTTGGTTGACCCA